ATGACTACCTTACTAGCTGATGTGCAAGGGGCTACAGAGAGGGCTGCCTTGCTCTAAACTGCACCTCTCAAATCCACAGGAAGGATTTCCTTTGTACAATTTTATTTACACCAAGAACACTAACAACAAGTGATTGCAGAAAGCCAATTTGAAGACATACCATAGAGGCCAACTGTGTAGTGATGGCTGTAGTAAGTATAATCCTAAAGAGGCCTCCCCAAGTTCCTTACCCCTGGGTATTCAATCAAATGCTACTCTAGGTACTACCGAAAAGGGATTTTTGCAGATCTAATTTCTTAAAATAAAACGATTATCCTGGATTATCCAGGTAGGCTCAATCTAATCACACAAACCTTTACTGGGGAGAAAATTCTCTGGCTGGAGGCAGAAAAGAGGCTGTAGAGGAGGAAGTTGGAGATAATCAAAGTGTGAAAAAGATTCAACTTTGTATTGTGGGTTTGAAGATGGAGCAATGAGGCCACTTACCAAGGAATGTGGCAGCCTGTAGAAACTGAGAAGAACTTCAGCTGACAAGCGGCAAGGAAATGGGGACCTCCGTCCTGTGACCACCACATCAATATTAATTCTGTGAACAATTTGCTTGAACTTGGGAGCAAATTCTTTCCCAGAACCTTCAGAAAGGAATGCAGCCTTGCTAACATCTGACACCTTGATATTGACTTTGAAAGAATCTAAGCAGAGAACCAGCTGAGCCACTCTGTGCCTGAACTTCTGACCTAGAGAACGTGAAAAATAAATTAGTGTAGCTTTAAGCTGCTAAATGCATGTTAATAGAAAACTAATAAACCAACACACCATCAACACACTAAACATACACACACAGAGATAAACGGTAGGAGGAGAGGATTTGGAGAAGAGACGAATCAATTCTGCCCAGAGGTCTTAAAGAAAACTCCTCAAAAGAGATGGAACAAAGCCTACATAAGGCTTAAATAAGTGTAGAGGGGTAGAGAATGGAGAAAATTTTATGGGTGAGAAAAATGGCCTGAGAAAGATAGAACAGATTCAATAGAAAATGAATCAGATCAGTTTTTCTGGAATAGGGGCTTCAGCAGAGGTTGAAGGATAAAGTTGGGAGAGATAACTGAGACCAGAGTGTGAAAAGTCTGGAATGAAAACCCTAACAAATTTCAGAAAAAGGAATCAAGTCACAAAAGAAACCATAATGAGAATTCTGAGACAAATGAATATATGTCTATAAAATAATGTTTTTTTTCTGCCCATGGCTCACTCGGGAGAGTGTGGTGCTGATAACACCAAGTCCACAAGTTCGGATCCCATATAGGGATGGCTGGTTGCTCACTGGGTGAGCGTGGTGCTCACAACACAAAGTCAAGGGTTAAGATCCCCTTACTGGTCATCTTTTAAAAAAATAATAATAATAATAATGTTTTTGTCAAGACATTTCTATCTAATTCATCCTGTTGTCTCTTCAGTTTCCTTCCATCTTGTGGGAATCTTCACCATTGACAGAAAACTTCTTAACTTTTCCATACGTAATGTGAGGAAAATAGAATAGTTTAGTCAGGCACCCTCACCTCAGGTCTGGTTTGGGGTGGTGCAGCATTCTTTGTAAACAAGTTGTGTGTGGGTGGGGTTAGTGCGCATGCATGCCAATGTATCTTTTTAGTTTGTTGCTAGTGTGTGTTCTTCCATTTGTGAAGCAGTGACTGGCTGGCAGAGAGCTTGAGTCTAAAAATAGAGCATGTTTACTTTGCTGGCAACTGCTCAGTTTTTCTTTGGACTTTGCCAGTAGCAGTTGAGTTTCTTTTTGGACTGCTTAGCTCTTAGACGTGTGTGTGCTGAATAAAGACTACTCTTTTCTTTTTTTTTTTTTTTTTCGTCCTTTTTTGAGACTGGCCACACCGCACTCAGCCAGTGAGCGCACCGGCGGTCATTCCTATATAGGATCCCAACCCGCGGCGGGAGCGCTGCTGCACTCCCAGCGCCACACTCTCCCGAGTGCGCCACGGCTCGGCCCAAGACTACTCTTTTCAACCAAGTCTCCAAGGACCCTTTTTCCTGTTACTTAGCTCCTGGGCCTGTGTGCCAAGGGTGTGTGAACAGGCTCAAGGGGTCTGTGAGACCTAGCCCTAGCTCTACATGTAGATTTTCTGCTGGTGTCTGCCTACCTATGTCATACATTTGCCTAGTTTTGCTTATGACCATGTCTAAACAATAACATAAATGAAACAAAACAAGATCTAGTGAGAAAATTCAATATCCCTGTGCATGTGTCTTGCCCTTTTCGGTTGCTGTAACAAAATACCTGAGACTGGGCAATTTATAAAGAACAGAAATTTATTTCTCACAGTTCCAGGGGCTGGAAAGTCCAAGAGCATGGTGTTAGAAAGTGGTGAGGACCTCGTGCTACATTATAACATGGCAGAGAAGCTGAAGGGGAAGTGGGTGCATGCAAGAGAAGCAAAATACATGGCAACAAGACTCACTTTATAACAATCTGCTCTGGTGGGAACTAATCCAGTTCCACAAGAGTGAAGACTCCCTCCCAGGATAATCTCTCTTAATGACCTAATCACCTCTTAAAGTCTCTACTTCCCAGTGTCACTACACCGGGGACCAAATTTCCAACACATGAATTCCAGGGGAAACACTCAAACCATAGCAGTATGACTGCCAGAGATCAGAAGAGGAAATATATGTTTTTACTCATCTGCGTATTGACATTTTTAACACAGAGACACTGATCTTTTTCCATAACAAATTGCTTGTATATTACACAGTAAATTTCCATCACCCAAAGTTATTTCGTTAAGGTTTCTTTTAGGCAGCAGACAGATTTTGTTCAAGCATGTCTTATTAATCTTTATTCTTTTAAAATCATCAGATTTCCCTACCCTACTTTTATCTACAAATAGTTTTTAATTTCCCAATAAAGTATGTCAGTATTACTAGAACACACACACATTCTCTAAGTGCATTCACTTTTGCTTGCCAAGTGTAGAATGCTGGTGCTGGATAAGCACCTGTAAACTGAGAAATATAATCAAAAAATAAACAAACACATACAAAGCCTTTTAGCAAATTGGTGGATGCCTGTGGAGCTGCTGTCCTCAGAGGAAGCATCCAGCTCCTTTACACCTCCAATTGGAACAGCATTAAACAAAAATACGAGAAATTTAGGTCCAAATTTTGGTACATGCTAACAAAACATTCTATATACTTCTTTCTTCTCCTCCTCAAATGGCAGCATTTTATGCTGAAATAGCTAAAAAAAATTTCTAAAAGACATCAATTTTTTCATTTGTTAGATTTTAAATACTATAACTTCAACAATTGACTTGTTATAACTTCAACTACATACGCACTGGCAGAATCAAAAAAAAATTGGCAGAATCAGTTGTACACATGTGAACATGTACCCTTAGACTTTAAAGCAGACATTTAGTAATTTCAATTCATTATTTTAATTTGGCCTGTATAGCTCAAATTCCTTACATGTGGATTCTTTTTCAAGATTTTTTTTTTTTTTGATAAATTAAAACTTTCTTTAGAAGGATATTTTCTATCACTTTTTTTTTTAATATATCAAAGGTACAGATAGTAGATGTGGCTAACAGAAAAGCCCAAGAACAATACTTATCAAAAGTTTCAACACTCACTCAAAAATAATTTTGATCAATTTGCAGAGGTATCACAGACAGATTTCCTTTTCCTCAAAAAATAGTTCTAGTATTTGAGAGAAGGAAAAAAACTAGAGGATTTTATTAAAAACATCAAACATCAATTTCTGTTGCATCTTCTAAGATCTGGAAAAAGAGGATTTGGACTTGATTTTCTAATCAGTCTCTTCTACTTGCACTTGGAAACATTCCCTCCTGTCACATGAAAATTCCCTAGCAAAAAAAAAAAAGTAGTTTTGTTTTAGTTTGGCTTATGTTGTCATAGAGAATTAATTCGTTTTCTATTTATTATAGAGTAAGTTTAGCTTTCTCAATTTAAGAAGAATATGCTTATATCCAAAGCTGTTATGGATCCCTGACAGATGACTTAAATTACACCAAAAGAACATGGCTAGCCATTATCTGGTGAGCCCCCAAATTACCCCCTCTAACATTCTTTTGTGAACATTTCTTTTTTTTTTTTTTTTCCCTTTTTTTTGTCTTTTTTTTTTTTTTTGTCGTGACCGGCAACAGATCGCAACCCTCAGTGTCGCGCCTGTACCGGACCGGGACCGGCAACGGGATTGCAACCCTCGGTGTTGCTCCCGCACCTCGCTCAGCCAGTGAGCGGGCCGATCTGTATGCGGGATCCGACCCCTCGGCGGGAGCACCGCCGCGCTTCCCAAGCGGCGCACTGTAGCAGTGCGCCACTGGGCCGGCCCCTTTTGTGAACATTTCTAAATATTGACCTATACCTCAAATGTACTTGAAGATAAAATCTTACTTTTTTCCCCCTTCTAATATCTGGGAAGTGAAATCAACTAGGATTTCCAAACCAAATTAATACATCCCTGGAAGGCCTCACCAATAGGAAATCAAAATATTAAGAAGCAAATTTATGAAGTAGAAACCTAAAATACATTGCCATGTAACCAAAATCTGAGGTCTTTCTCAGAAATTAAGGGCTATCTGTTAGATTCAGCAACATCAAATTCTGTACAACTTCAAAAGGTATTAGCACAATTGAAATTATAAATGATCTTTGCCTGAAAAGTATCTACTTACAAGTTATGCAATTAAAACTTGGTGATTAAGGCCAGCTCTGGATTTTCTTCATTATAATTTATTCAAAATATTTCTTCATTCAGAAAATTTTTTAAATGAAACTTTCTTAATAACTTACCTAAACCCTGATTTGTTTATTCATAATAGATATTATTCAAGGCTGGAAGATGGCCTCTTGTGCTCTAATTTAGAAACTTAAGAATTTGGGGGAAATTCTGGAAAGTTTTTGTGCTCTTTGTTCACTTATAATATCTTTATGCAAAATAGGTTACCACAGTTAATTACCTTGGCATGGCTTGTCTTGTGAATTGGAAAGAGAATAAACTAGATCATCTCTGGAGAACTTCAAACACTTGGAGGTACAATTGAGAAGAAATGGGGTCGATATGAATTAAGAAAGTAGATATGTTTAGAAACTGGGAATACTCAGGTGTATTGACTTGCAGACAAACCCAGGTATGAAATCTACTTAATCACACGAGTCCCAGACCATTAATTACTGTTATATGTAATTATTACAAAAAAGAGATTCTCACTTTTCCTAATACTTTGGAAATTTGCCAATAATGATATGCTTCTCTCCTAATGAGAAGTCTTCGCATGTATTTGTTAGCAAATCTCAAAAGAAACTAAAACTAAAAATGGTTCTAATTTAAGGAACAATTATAATCACTATTTTTTGATGTAAATGTGGTTTTCTTAAATTTAGACTCAAGGCCCATTAGAAGTCTTTCCGACACGTGAGAAATTTTCTTAGAAAACATGGGGAGCAGGGGACACATTCTGTCATCTCAGCCTTCACCATCCATCGAAATTTCTAAGTGGGTGGATCAGATGAACAGGTTAATGAAGACATTGCAGAGGAGATTTTCAATGTGGGGGTCTCACACGGATATTCTCACCCTGCTGCTCTCAGCCCCAGGTTTAGGAGGTGGGTCTTATGCTCTTGTTTAAGATCACCAACTCAGTGGTCTTTAAGCAGAGCAGACCACCTGTTGGGCAGGAAATGTGACCCAGTAAGAGATCTGCCCTGGCACCAAAAGGTTATCATGAAACTCATCCTCCATTTTTCTTTTTTCTGTGTTTTGGCAGCAGTGGGTATATAGGGAGATGGCAGAAATGAAACACATAAGCATTTTTTTTTTTCTTTAATGAGCACATTTTAGAGTTTGGGATCCCTAGAATCTTCTCCCAGAAGTGACTGTGAGCTGTCAGGAACCAGCTTTCAAGCACGACAGGAACCTTAACAGTGGGAATAATGTCTCCATCTGCAGTGATGAGCACCGAAAATAAACAGAAGATAATATGAAGGAAATTGCTGAAAACATGGTTTTAGTGGAATCTTTGAAGTGTTTTCCTCTTCAGGGAGGTGGTTGCAATTTGTTACAGCACACAAACCAGCAAGCGTTGTCTTTATTGTGTTCTTAAGAATTTGTGATAAGGTGCCAGGGTCTGAACATATGAAAAAGCAAAGACGATAAATGGAAAGATTAATGTCCTCGGGAAAATGAAGTAGTAGGTGTTTAAGTGCACGTGAAAGCTTTTCAATAAATGTCTTGTATCTGAAGCTTGTGATCTTTTATTTGATAAATAAAAAGCAAGACACAATAATTTGATTAGACTTTGCAATATATTTACCTTATTAACAATGACTCATTGAAATTCAAAAGCTATCCAGAAGTTGAGACAGGAACAAAAGCTAATGGTGTCCAACTGGTGTTAATGGGATGGTAGGACATAAAATTTTGTCCAAAAAAACCCCAGATATCTGAGAGAATGGGGGTATATAGACTCTGCAATGTTTTTGATTTAAAGTGCACTTCTTAGGCCATCTTGAATCTCCATCCTCCCCTTATTTGACACAACATCAGGGATCAAGGCACTACTCAGTGACCTTTCTGCACCTCAGTGGTTTTCTCATTTGAAAAATGCCTGTTTCTTGGATGGTAAAATATCTAATTCTACCACCTAGCATAGGTGTGATTCCCAGGAAGTCTGCCCTGAGAACTAGATGTGTGCACAAGTGATTTATTAAGGACAGGCTCCCAGGAAAAAGAAGTAAAAAGAATGGGGGAAGAAGCAGAAAAATGAAGGTGAAGAAGCCAACTAAGGGTAAAACTTTAGGAAAAGATCCAACTTCAATGTAATCCCATAGCACAACTTTAGAGTGTTAATTATGCCTCAGTTTTTGTCCTAAGTCAAAGAAGCTGGACTCCTTGGTCATAAACTTTCAAGCACTTCCTGCTCTCAGTCTGGTTGGGGCAAAGCAGCTCCTATAGCTCAGAAGATCATCCTCCAAAGAGATGTATTCCTTTCCCAGGGCAGCCACAACAAAATGCCACAGACTGGGTGGCTTAAATGACAGAAATTTACTTTCTCAGTGTTCTGGAGGCTGAATGTCCACAATCAAGGTGTTGACAGGTTTGTTTCTTCTGAGGCCTCTCTCCTGGGCTTGCAGATGGCCACCTTCTCACTATGAGGGATCAAAAAGTTCATGAAAAAAAAGTTGAGTTAAAAGATAATAACCAATTCTTCCATGAACTTTTTGAAGATCCTCTCATATGTCCTCATGTGGTCCACCCTCTATCTCTCCATGCATCAGAGTCCTATTGAATTATGGTCCCACCCTCATGACCTCATCTAACATGAATTACTTCCAAAAGACCCTACATCCAAATATAGTCACACTGGGAGTTAAGGCTTCAACATGTGAATTGTGGGGGAACATAATTAAGTTCATAGAAATAAGCAAAAACGAATAAGTAAGAAATAAGAAGAGAATTAATCAAAGACTCTAATACTCTAGCATAAAGATGGGAAACAGGGAGATGAGGGCTGTGTCTTGAAGGTACACGTGAGAAGGGAAAGAATTCTGTAAGTAGGAAATGCCTTGCAGTACAAGGGCACTATTTGAAAAGGAATGTGCATAGTGTAAAGGTAATCGAGCCTAGTCTAAGGTTCTTAATGTGCCAGTGCCACTCACTGACCAGTGAAACTCTTCCTTCCATTGCTTCTTATAAAAGAACATAGAAATAAAATATATAATTCAATCAGTCCAATCATTTTTCACTCAGTACATATGAATTCATGGTAAGTTGCCATATCAAAGAGCTAGAAAAGAAATGTTAAAAATAAGCTGTAAAATGGAAAAGTGCCATGAATATATAAATAACAATAAAACTGCCTTTGGGATTGTAGTCTACATGAAGGTGTAACTTTGTAGTCTTACCCTTTTCCTTGACTCTTTCATATGTATTTTCTTCAGTTCCAAAATACAAAATGAACTTACCAATCCTCTCACCTGAGTAAATAGCCTTTAAAGTATACGCTGCTAGTTGGGAATACGCGTGGGTCACTTGAAGTAGTTAGTTCTTCAGAGTTTTATCCTTAATTCTACATGATATTATCTTTATTGGACAATAATTCACTTCATAAAATTTAAGCCAAGTTTCATATTCAGTAAATTCTGAGATTTTTAACCGAAGAATCAGAGAAATAAAAAACATGCTAAACAAAGAACTTTTCTCTAGGTCATGTCACTCTATGCTCGTATTGTCATCTAGACAAGGGACATTTTACTGTAGGAAATAAAATCCCATTCTCACTGTGTAACTGCCCCCAGTGATCATCTGCTTCTGTGGTGTCCTTCACACTTAAGCACCGACAATCTGGTCACTTCTTGGGAATCCATAAAACCCCCAGGACAGAATAAGAGGCCTGGCGCCATTCCAGTTTATGTAATTAGACTTTTCCTTTCTAACATTTTCTTATATTTTCAATTAAGTATAACAGTTCATTTCATCAAGTTACTATGTTCTTGTTTGTTCTTCACCTTCATGACAGGTAATGTTTGCAATGTCTGTGAATTTACAGCCAGCAAGACTCTAGGTAAATGCAAACCATAATCAATTCCATCACATATCTAACTTTGATCATTTATGAGGGATCTACAGACACTCAGTGCCTCTCTCATAACATTGATAGTTTGCCTGGAATAGTATTTGAGCATTGTCCAAAATTTTATTGTCAAGTGACCTTTCCTGTTTAATGGAAAAGATAAAAAATTTTATACCAAGGAAACAGAATCTGGATAGATTGGTGGTTACAGGAGGTGAATGAGGAAAGCACATCGCATAATACTGGAAGAGGCCATAAAGCCCCACGAAAGCCACCTGCTTTCTAGGTGATTACACCAGATAAAAGAAGACAGACTAGCTCACTGGTGAGCTCACCCCTATATGTTTTCAACTCAGAGGAAATAATGATGGATCTAATGTTAAAATCTCAGCAACAGATTTCTGGTTTTACAGAATAAAAGCACTTAATAATATGACTACCTTTATAAGGATATCTTACACTTCATTTCAAATATTTGCACTTTAAAAGGTGTGGCATCCTTTCATTCAACTTAATCCTCCCAACGACCTTTTATGGTGGTGTGGGGTAAGTCACCACCAACAGCAGCTCACAATGGTTTGCCATTGCTACCCTCTTTGTGGTGTGTTCATAATACTTAGTCTGTAACCAAATAAGTGAAATGTAAATATACCATTTTACCTATATATTTTATGTCATATCTGAAGATCTTCTAGCAGTAAAAGCACAGACCCTTAAGCTTGATTTTTATATTTTGTAGTTTCTAGTGGAATTTAAGGCACAAGGAACACATAACATGAACACATACATATGAAAGCTACCTGGTCCTGAGAGTAAACTGATTTATTACAGCCAAGTAATGGAAATACCAAATCAAATTGTAAGTTCTGACTCGGTGAATACTCTGCTTTTCTGCTCCATTGCGGAATTACTCCCTTGAGAGACTGGCCCTTAGCATCCTCTGCTGCCCTTTGGCCCACCTTTCTGGATGGGATATATCAAGAACTACAGCATGCCATTTCAAACCAAAATAAACCTTTCTGAGGGGTGAGGTGGGGGGTGTTAGAGGCAAATCCTATTAGTACATAAACCCATAGCATTAGTAAGGGTTTCTCTGGCTGTTTAGGAAATCCACTCAAATGCAGATATGGAACAAAAGTACATTAAGCTTTTAGGCAGAATATAATCAGTAACACTGTAACCACCAGTTAGCTGCACCTGAGTGTTAGACATTTGTAGTGCTTTGTTCTTGGGCCAATTACAATGTAACAACAAGCAAAGAGATGCTCTCCTTGCACAGAACAGAGCCTAGCAGAGAGCAGGTGTTCCATACATGTTTAGTGATTTCAATTGCATTGCTTTGTGGAATCATAAACTCTTACTATGCCCATATATTCATCCAAGGGAATAGAATATGCCAGTAATAGAGAGGACATGACAGCATGAGTGGTCTCCACTTAGGAAGGCCACAGGAATGTTGACATCTTGGGGAAGAATCTGGTTTTACTGGGAGCCAGGAACATTAAGAGCCTGTTGGAGAAAAAAAGTTCAAGATGAGGTAAATTAGTTTACAAAGGGCCTATATTTCTGAAGATGTACAAGGATGCAGAGGATTAGGGAGGGAAGTAGCTTTTAGGTGCTAGACTATATACTAAGCACTTCACATGCCTTCTCTTGTGTGGTCCTTGAAGCAAGATCATGATGTAGGTCTTGTTATCTCTTCTATAAAGCTAGAAAGTACATTTCAGAAAAAAATAAAATTCACAAACAGGTCTTTCTTACCTTAAAACTCTCAACCTTACAGTTTGTCTGGCTAATAATGAAACACAGGGCAATATTTACAGTACAGAAAATGTATGTCAATTATACCTTTATAAAGTGGTTTTAAAAATGTGTATAGGAGAATGCTGTCAAGTGGAAGAGCTTGAAGTTCAGTTTTTGAGGGAAGACAATTGTAATGGAATGCCTGGCAGAGTTCATGGCTCAGCTCAAGCCTCCAGAGCTGCTAAGGCCAGACCTCTGAAACATTTCTTTAGGATTTCTGTGAATTTGGCAGGTTGCTTTGGTTTTCTTCAATATACCCCTCCCCAGCTGGATGGGAACTTGAGGAATTTCAAAGTGGGTGGTGGGTGTGAGGAAGCTTTGGGTTTCATATGCTGTCATCTGAGAAGGCTGAAAAGACCAAAACTCTGAAGTTTCCTTATCAGTGATAGAGAACAAAAGGTAAACCTTTGGCTGCAACCTTAAATTCAGTAGTTTGTTGTCGGGCCTTAAAAACTAATGCCACCTTAAGTGACATTACAAGCGGTGCCATTATGGGCCCACAAGGGCGTATTAACGTGGCAGCCTAGGATGGCGCCAGGAGGAAGTAGGGTGGGAGTGTCTGCGGGAACCTTGCCTTAGCCCTTATTGGCCAAATACATGCTTCCGTGCTCGTGAACACTGCGTGGTTGTAATAGCTAGGCATTGAGACAGGATGCATGCTCTTGACCTTTAAGCTGATAGGATTATATAAAGAACCTCCCTTCCCCATTTGCCTTTAAAAGCAAGTGCTTATGTGATAATAAACGGAACTGCTCGACAGAACCCCCGCCATGTCTGAGTGTCCTTTAACCGGGCTGGTTGGAGCCAGCGGTGTGCTCACCTCTCTTCATGGCTCTCTTCCCCTGTCTCCTTCCAAAGGGGACAGGAGGGAAAGAAGAATCTGGGCCATTTGCTCGCCCACCAAAAGGAACGAGGCTAGGG